TTTTTTTTTTTTTTTTTTTTTTTGGTACGGGGGATCGAACTCAGGTTCTTGCGCTTGCTAGGCAGGTGGCGGAACCACTGAGCTAAATCCCTGGTTTACAGCTATTCTTGATCAGATTGAGGAGGTGCCCTTGAGTTCGACCTTGTTGTTTGCTTCCAGCATGAAAGGGCATCAGATTTTGTTGATGTTTTTAATCCAATCTGACAACCCCTGCCTCTTGATTAGATGATTTAATCGTTCCCATTTACCATTACTACCTACTGTGTTGTTTTGAGAGATTTTTGTGTTCATATATTCTAAGGCCCCTTTCACAGGGATGGCACCTTCCTGCTGTTTTTGGAGAACAAGCTCATGTGGGCTTCCTTAGAGCTGATACAAACAGGCAAATAAGAAAATGGGACCTGGGGAACAGGAACAAATTAGAAAATGGGACCTGAGGAACAGGAACAAGGGCCTGGCTGGGGAGCAAATGCTGGAAGCAAAGGCTCAGGCGTGCTTTTTAGCTGGTACTGCGTAGCTACCTTCCCACTGGGATTCTCTCAAGTCATTGTCTTCTTTATGGTAAGAATCTTGGAGGTTGGGAACCTCCAGTTACTAACCTGTTCTTTAGTAAAATGCTCATGGTCTTCCCTCTGACACTCCTTTCTGGGCACTAAGGAGAAACCAGGTCTTTGGTTTTACAGTTTAGAGAGGAGCTGCAGCTTTGAAATGGAAAGGATAAGCTGGGTGTGATGGTGCACATCTCTAATCCCAGCACTCGGGGAGGCTGAGGCAGGAGGACTGTAGGGCAGCTTGGCAAAAAGTGACTCAAAACAAAAAATGAAAAAGGACTGGGGAATGTAGCATGGTGGGAAGGATCCAGGTTCAATCCACCGTACAGGAAGAAAAAGAGAAAAGGGGGTCGGGGAGAAAGAGAGGGAAGGAAAGAAAGAGAAAAGAAAAGAAAAAGTTTCCTAAAATGTAATAGCTGCTACTCAAATGGACAGAATTTCATGGAGGAATAATTTCTGAATCCTCATTGAAGAAAACTGAAAATGGAGACTCTCAAGATTCACAGTGAGTGCTGTGAACAGCCCTAAGCACCAGTTCTCCTGTGCTCTGGTGTTCAGTGGGAGCAGGAGAGTGCGGTGTAAACCTTCCTGAGCTGCTGAGTGACCAAGGTCCAGCCTCCTCCAGGGCCTGCAAAGATGCGATTTTAATCCCAGGGAGTAAGAAGGATAGAAATGAACACGCATGGGCCAGGTGAGTCAGACCTGCCAGTAGACTGATTGGAAGAAACTGGCACAGGGCATGCATCAGGGGAGTAGAGAGGAAGGAACCACCGAAGAAGGACAAACCAGGCGGACTTAGGAAAGCCAGCAGTGCAGCACCCCAAGGACACCTCAGACATGTAGCCAACCTCACCCTAGGCTCTGACCCTGAATCTGAGGGGTCCCCAGGAACTGGCGACTCTGCACCTACACCAAGGCCGCTGATGGAGTGGAGAGATGCTGCTGTCGCCCACACACACTGTTACCCCAGAGCTTTCTCTGAAGCAGAGAGACAGGCCCACATCTCTTTTGGGACTTTGCTTCTCAGTGTGTGTCCATTAAGGAGTTTCCTTTCATCTCTAGCCTGAAAGGTGCAAGAAGCTCATCTGCCCTTTAATAGCTTTAGCCAAAGGTCAAGGCAGTCTGCAGACTGATCTCAGGAGCGGAGCAGCCCCTGGTGGATACCGCTGCTCACCTGAGAAACTTCCTTTCTCTGTATCCCCTCCGCTTCTTGCCTGCCCTGCGTCTTTTCTCTAGTGCTTGGCCTCTTCTTGGTTAACCGTCCTCTGGCTGCCTGTGAGCTGTGCTGCTCCTCCTGCCAGGGGCTGCAAGGGAGCAGAGGAAGTATTCTCTCCTCCCCTTCGGGACTGGACCTCCCTACTCATCCCTGTGCTCTGTTTTTGCCCCCAGGAACTTCTGCACTATTTAATCGGTACCTTGCTCCTCCTCATCGCCTCCATCGTAGCAGCCTCCAAGAGTTACAACCAGAGTGGACTGGTAGCTGGCGCGGTGAGGATGTTCTCGAAGGCTTTAGGAACCAATTCATGTCTTAGATGCTAATTTTCTTCCTGATGGGGGCAGAAAAGGGGTTGGTTTCTGGGCCCTTTCATAGAATCATTATTTACCCCAATCCAGCCAGAAGCTGTCTCCAAAGAACCCGACACCTGGACTCACAGCAGCTGCTTCCTGAAGGTGGACTGTCAGGGCCTTTGGCAAATTCAAACAGCGCAGGAGCTCAGGCCTCTCTCCTACAGCACCGCTTAAATCAGGGCAGTTGGGTTGTGACTTACACAGCCACTGAACATTTGCTCATGAATGTTTGAACAGTATTAATTGCAGGAAACAACACTTCTACACCTTTCAGAGATAAAAATTGATCCACCTGATACCCTTAAATAGAAGTAGCTGGGGGAATTGGGGGTGTAGCTCACTGGTAGAGCGCTTGCCTAGCATGCATGAGGCCGAGGGATTGAGCCCTAGAACCAAAAACAAACAAAAAAGTCGTTGGAAATACACAAAAACACAGAGCCACAAGAGGTGCATACCCATGGCTGTGTTGTTTTTCATAGATGCACAGATCCCTGTCATCTGATTTAGCTCATTATAGGCCAGTATTGAGTTACCTTACTGATGAGCGGGCAGGATTTTAAAAATGCATTTTAAGACAACTCTGTGTGTACGTTCGCTTGTATGTGTCTGCCCTGAGAGTGGGTTTGCTCCTGGGATTCATGCAGAGATGGCGTCTTTCCTCTGAAGGTTAGCACAGAGGGGTGCTGGCCACACCTCTGAGCACTGGTGCCCTCAGGAACTTCTCACAGCCCCTGGCACGCTCAGCCCCGTGTCGTGTGTGAGGAGAGAGGTGGCTGCCACCTGAAGGTCAGCACCTGCCCTCAGTGGCATCAGCCAGTGGAGAAGCACAAAAGGAGTTCCTGCCCTGCGTTCTAGGGGACGTGCGGGGATTCTCCACATCAGCCCTGCAGTCCCAGTATCTAACATTTAGCATGGCTTATTGTTCCTGGCTTGTGCCTGAGGCCAGACCAGAGCTGTGTAGAAGCCAGAGGGTGGAAAAATGGTCCCTATTTCTGAGAAAGTGGTCATCTAGCTTAGGAGGTGAGGACGGGGCACATGAAACAATTAGCAAACATGACACTGTCGACAAGAATAGCATTCTGCAGTGATATAATAAACTGTTCAATTATGCAGAGCAGACAGTTGGCGACCGGGACGGTATATAATGTGCTAATTGTGCAGAACAGACAATGAGAGGCCAAAACAGGCTCTAATAGACTAATTATGTGGTGCAGACAATCGGTACAGTCGGAGCCAAGGAAAAGGCATTCAGGGTAGAAGTAGGCGTAGGTTGGTGGGGGCAGTGCTTTGTGTAAACCAGCAGCCAGGCTTGAAAAGAAAAGCAAACCTTGTTGAAAATCCTGCCCTTCGTCTGGTTGTCCCAGGGCCATCCCTGTAGGATGTCAGCCGGTCACTTCAGCCATGCTCTAGTAGGAGCGAGGTGGCCCGGAGGCCTGGGTGTGGGCCAGAGGACACTTGGACTGCTGCTGTCTGCAGAGCCAGGGCTCCAGAGTGTGGCCACTCGCTCACTCCGGGTGTACCTGACCCGGGCTCATTCCGTGGCCCTGGGCACATAGCTGACCTCCCGTCTCTCCATTTGTGTAGCTGTGAAACGAGGAGGGCAGAACCGGGAAGTTCAAGGACTCGACTCACCGGTGGGTTAGCGCTCAGGCTGTGCTGGGCACAAGTAAGAGACGTGCCTCCGGGCCTCACAGTTCTCAGGGCAGCAGGCTGCGGCTGCTCCTGCCTGACCATTTGGTGAGCTCTGTGCAGGCCCCTCTTCCTCCTCTGCAGGATGAGCTCCGGCCAGGCTCGGTTAACCTCCTCCTTGGGCTTGAGCACCTGGTGGACCCTGGGGAAAAGAACGCTGCCTCATTGATTTAGGCCCATATCTTTTAAAGATGTGCACACCTAAAACTAGATATACAGGCCTCGTCCTCTGGCCTTTACACAGAAAGTTGCTTCAAATGAAATGCAGACAGTGCCACCACATAAATAAAACCCATTTGAACATTAAAAATTTAAAGCCCAAATTAACATTTACAGTTTGACCCTCTCTTCTTTATTAGTCCAGGATAATCAAAGACCAGGGGGTTGGGACCAACTCGGTAGTCAATATAAATCCAAGCTGGGGCGCTGGGGCTGTCCAGAGTGAGAAGGGCTGAGGGTGGAGACCCAGCTGTCAGGTCTAACGTGGGTGGAACCCAGGGCGCTGAAGCTGGTGACGGCCTCTCCGGGCTTCACCTGTGTATCTGCGCGAGGATGAGGCAGTAAGGTCAGATGACTCTCAAGCTTCCTTCCAGCCACCAATAGCGTGGGGCAAGCACTCAGGTGAGGAGCAGACAGGACTGCCCAAGGATGGGCCCTGCGACCTGTGAACTTCTCTCTTGCCTTTGCAGGTCTTCGGATTCTTGGCCACCTTCCTCTGCTTGGCAAGTGTGTGGCTGTCCTACAAGATCTCCTGTGTGACCCAGTCGACAGGTGAGTTCCAGTTTCTGTGTGCAGAGGACCTAAAAGGCCCCTGCTCAGAGCAGAAGACCGCTGTCCTTGGCTTCAACAGCAGGGACGCCCTGGCTGAGGAGGAGACCATGTCCCTAGGCCAACTCCAGAGTGTGGTGCAGATCCCTGGAAAAGGAAAGACACAACCCAAGAACCCTTGCTATGGTCCCCAGCTCTACAAGCCCAAGGATCTCCTGGCATTTCAGCCTTCGACAGGAAAGCATTTTCTTGAAATAAGTTTTCTAATGACAGAAACAATATACAGAGTTTTTAGAAAATACAAATAATATTTTTGTAAAATAAAAACCATCTGCCACCCAGAAACAGCACCTGGATATCTATCCTCCCAGTATTTCCTCTTTGAAAATACATATTCATGTTGCTTATGTGCTGCTTTGTCACCTGCCTTTTTTCTCCTCCACCTGTTAGACATTTTCCTAGCATCCTCAGGGATTCTTTTCCATCGCTTCCAGATAGTTTATCGCTTTTTTTAAAAAAAATTATTTGTTAATGAAATGCTGCAATGAACATCCTTGCAAATCCTCGTACACGTCCCTAATTAGTTTTATCTGTACACTGAGTTTGCAGAAGTAGATTGCTAGCCAAGAATTTAGCTCAGTGGCACCACACCTGCCTCACAAGCGCAAGGTCCTGAGTTCAATCCCTGGTACTAAAAAAAAAAAAAAAAAAAAAAAAAAAAAAAAAAAAAACGTAGACCGCTAAAAGTCTGACCCATTTTTATTAATCACCTACCTCTCTGAGGCAGCACTTCCTTTCTCTGTGCTGTTTCTTTCATTCTCATTAGAAATCTCAAAGCCTGTGTGCTACAGAAAGGTGGCCACGGCAGATTTCTTCCCAGGCCTCACCAACGATGAGCTCAGTGGAAGGCCCGCACAGGGCAGGGCTCCATGCAGAATGTCTGGAACAGGCAGATCTGCAGAGACAGGAAGTGGACCAGCGGTTGCCTTGAGCCACAGGGAAGAAGGATTCAGGGCTGACTGCTAAAGGGCATGGGGTTTCTTCTTGAGATGATAGCAGTTCTAAAATTGTGGAGATGGTTGGACAATTCTGTGAATATGCCAATATGTATTCTATCCCAGGAAAGCTGCTTAGGAGAGAAAGAAAAATTAATTTTCTAAAGGTGGAGAATGTGGGGGGGGGCTAGGTAACATGTAAAAATAATAAAGCTATCAGTATTTGTATAAGTATATTATTATCAGTTATTATCAAAGAAGCACAAGTGAAGTTAAAGAGGGATCACCAGCATCAGAGGAACAGGGCTGAGGGGCACAGGAGTAGCCACAGGAGTCCTCTCTGCACTAGTTTTAAAACATTTTGGTCTATTTTAGAAATGTACTTAAGAAAAATTAAAACCGTGCCAATGAAAGTTGTTGCAGGGTAGAGGAAAGAACTGGGCAAAGCAAAAGTCAAGGAAGAGCCAGTGGCTTCTGGGTGGGCTCCCTCCCTCCCAGCACGTTGACTGACTTGTCATTTCCTTCCCAAGATGCAGCTGTCTGATTCGGCCACAGCCCCGGCCTCCTCCAGAGGATCCACAGGACAGGAGGCCCTGCGGACAGGCAGCCCAGTGGCTCCGCACGCTCTGAACTGTGCTCCTGCGCCACAGTCCCGCAAAGGCTGTGGGCTCCGGAAGGACTGCACCTTCCTCCTGCTTTTGCGAGGCGCCCATTCCCTGAGCTCCTGAGCTGGGAAGAGCCTCTTTCTCCAGGCTTCCTCGGAGGACGGTCCCCCTCTTCTGGGAGAGGAAAGCAGCCTCACAGCACTCTGCCTTTCAGTCTGCTTTTAGCACCACCTCAGATACGGACAACCCCACTGAACACGCTGGAGGGGCTTCCGAATCCGCTGCATAAATCTGCTTCTCTTTCATGTTCTGCAGGGGAGCGGAGCTGCCTCAAGTCCCCTAGAAACCAAGCCAGCTGCTGGGTTAGCTCGCAGTCTGGTCTGGGAGAGACCCTCTTCCTTAAGGTGGGTTGTGCCTGCAGGAACATGCAGCCAGCCAGCCGCCTTCTGTCCCTGTCTCTGCCTATGTTACCATTGTGTGTGTGTGTGTGTGTGTGTGTTGTGTGTTTTTAAATAAAATATTGGCCTATTGCGGAAGGCTTTCCTCTTGAATGAGAAGTGTGTAAAACCTGGCTTTTTCATTCAGGTCTTGTGTGGCACGTGGCCTTGAAGCTTGTGCTCTGTGAATTCTTGCCAAACTGCTAGACTGGTTTTGGGGGCATTGCAAAAGGGCTGAGTTTCAGGTGAACATGTGCAGTTTTAAATTTATATTTGCATTCTTCTTCTACAGCATGAACTTACTCATTTGGGAAGGGGCTTTGGAGGAAGTTAAGGGTCCTATTTAGGTCATGACAGGTCATCTTGTCCTCAATTTGCTGTTCCCTGCTCTTGGGCTTCCTGGTTGGCTAGAAAGAGGGAGGGGAGTGCAACAGACATCTGTTGATCAGCGCTGTGTGTGAGGACAGCACACTCATGGCCATGGTGCACCCCGTCTCAGAGATGAGGAAATTGGAGCTCTGCTCCCAAGGCACAGCTGGGTTTGGAATTCGGGCCCCCCTGGCTCCCGGTCCCCGCCTTGTCCTGTGTGAAGTGTGGCCTGACACAGGGCCAGCCCCTTCTGATGGTGCTGGTCAGCTGGGACACTGAGACAGTCTGGGACCATCTAGGGCAGCAGCTCCCCTGTGTGTACTCTGCCCAGTCTGCTGGTGAGGGCCGAGCAGCCCTGGGTGGCTCCTCAGGAACAGGACGGAGGAGGCTCAGCTCAGAAGGGCACTGCCCAGGGACTGCCTGGGACCCGGTCGCTCCCTCTGCCCTGATGCTGCGGCTCCTTGATCATTTGGTAATCCTTTGGGGAGACCAGGGAAGGTAGGGGAGAGTCAGCTGGAGGAGAAGCAGGAGCTAGAGTCTGCTCAGCGAGGAAAGAAGGAAAAGCCTGACACCAGGGGCCATCTCTAGAGACTGAGCGGCAGCCCATTCAGCAGACACTTAGGCCAAGGAGGGGCAGCTGGACTTGGGGGGGTAGGTCACAGGCTTTTATGGAAACCTCAGTTTCCATAGCCTCCCAATAAGCTGTCAGATAAACTATGTCTTATCTCAAAGGTGGCTGCACTGCTAGTCCCAGAGCAAATGTTTAAACAAAGCTAAGGGTGGTGGAAAGAAACCCAGTCTGGGCATCAGAAGACCCATGTCAGGTCTTAGCTCTGCCACTTGGTCCCCATGACACCGCCGTAGTCCCTTATGGGTGTAAGGAGAAAAGCCTGTGCCGCTCACCTCGAAACCCTCCTGCAATTCAACAACACAGCAACTTGTTTATGTTAGAGGAGACTTCCTCGTACTGGTCCCCAAAGAGATGATGCGAAATGAGCGGGTGAGTATTGCAGAAGTGACCAGCTGACGAGGCAGGCAGAGGAGGGATTGGGGTGTGGGGAAACATGATGACCGTTAGTTTCCTAGATCTTACACTCATTCGAAGTCAGCACTGGGGGACAGTTCTCAGCAGGATCCTGGGACCCACTGTGGACACAGGGCAGTGGAGAAACTTGGAGGAAACAGCCGTAGCACCCACCGGTCCTAGTGGTGTGGCAGGTCCCAGGGGAAGCAGGAGTGAGGCTAGTGGTAAGTGGGTGTCACCCCTGCCAGAGCCTGCTGGTCTCCTGACCTGGTGAAGGAAAGAACATTGGCTTTTCATGCCCTGCATAGAGCAGTCATTTTCAGGCCCTCTGTTCCTTCAGCTGTTTCAGCTCAGTGCTGAGGCACTGAGAAGTTCTAGAAGCGGGGTCTACATTTAGGAGTCCTTGTCACTTTGGCAGGCTCTGCTCATAGCTGGCTCTGATGTGGCAGTTGCAGGTGCTGTTGAGAGAAGGGGCCTGGGAAAACTCACTACCCCTGGGCTGCAGCCTCAACCCCAGGGCCTGATGGTGCATCCAGCAGGGCAGTGCCACACAGCTCCCCATGGGTGGGCAGCCTCTGAACCCAAGTGTCAATTGATTCACCACTGTGCCCCACATCCTGGGACAACAAAAAACTTCCCCTCATGGAACTGAGGTGTGGGAGGTCTGGGTTGGGAGCCAGAAATCGTCTAAGCCTTGTCCACAAAGTGGTCCAGCCACGTGGGCATTAGGAATGCAAGATCCCAGGCCCATGGAAGCCAGCAGGCTGGTGCAGGGCCCCCTGCTGTGTAACAAGTCCTGGGTGGTGCCTGAACAGCAGCACTTGTGACGCCCAGGTGGGAGCTGAGTCATGCCCTCAGCTGGTGCAAATGTAAGGCAGAGTTCATTACTGGAGGAAGCAGGTGAGTGGTGTCAGCTAATAATGATGGAAGTAAAGTGTTTCCTGCTGCTGGATCTGTGGCTCCAGTAGGAGTACAGAGCACCATTATAGGCATGCGCCACCACACCCAGCTGATGGCCTTTTCAAACCCAGCCCCACAGTTCCCTGCGGAGCATCACTGTTGCTGGCCAAAGAACCCCAGGACCTGAGCTAGTCACAGGCCACTGCACCCCAGCCTCGGACAGGTGAGAAACTAATCGGCTCCTCTCACCTCACACGAGAGGCCAGCTGTCTGTCCCCAGCTTTGTGACTAGGACGAGTGAGTTCACTGGCAGGACGGCCGTGCTGGGGTAGGAAGATTATAAATTTGAGGCTAGTTTGGGCAACTTAGTGAAAACCTGCCTCAAAATCAAAAGGACTGGGATGTAGCTCTGGGTAGAGCTCCCCTGGGGTTTATGCCCAGGGCTGAAAAGTTTGGTAACCCTGAGATGGAGAGGGCAGTGGCCTAGGTCACAGGTCAGGGGTCAGCGAGGGGACTGTCTCATGGAGACCACCATAGGATGCGTGGCGCCTCTGGACCTTGCAAACAGATTGAGGCAACTGGTGCATTGTTAGGGTTTTATTGATATTTTCTATGTATGTGCAAAATGATAATGATGATGATGATGAACTACAGGCAGAGCTGTGCAATAAAAGGGAATTGCAACATCTGATGAAGTGCGCCGCCGGGCAGGGCTCTGAACACTGAGCAGCTCAGCCCAGCCGCAATCGCGGCCACACGCAGTGCTGACCCCACGCGAACAGAGGCCGACCTGTCCGCGGGGGCCAGCGGTTGGGGGGCCATGCGCTGCTCGCTGTGGTCGGACTCCCCAGTGACCCAGAGAAATGGAAACCTGGAGTTTTCCTGTGAAATCTCCAGGTTAGCAAACGTTGCCAAAGAAACTTTGACCCTTCAGGGCGGAGGCCTGGAAGGCGCCCTGGCCCCCTGGGCTGCCAGCTGCTTCCTCCCGAAACCTGGGTGCAGAGCTGGGCGGAGGCTCTCCCCGGGGAGCCCCCGGGGTTCCCTGCCGGCAGCTGCGCCCGCTCCCTCCCTCAGCCACTCCTCCCTGCGGGGCCAAGCTCTATCCCCGCACGGAAATAAACCCCACCGCCTTTGAGGGCTCCTACTCTTAGCAGCTTCCGCCCTCTGGCGGCCGGCAGGGCGCAGTGCACCCCCCCCCCCGCATCTGGCCCTGTCAATGCTTCCTCAAAGCCGGTGTCTGAATCCAGGGTCCAGATTAGAAGCACAAATTTGCATATTTTTTGGTGGACCTCGGGTGCACAGATTAATTCTAATCCTCGGTTCATGATATTCTCACATCTTGATCATTGGTCTATACATGGCCTCTTTCTCCCGATTACTTTTTATTACGGATGCAGCACAGAAACAATATGACAGCAACCTATGCTTAACTGTTATCTGTAACTGTTTCCCATCTCATCACCTCAGTCTCTCCCCTCCCGAGGTAACCACCCGAACTTTCATTATCACATATTTGCTTTTATTGTAGTTCTGTTGTAGCTGTATCTACTGATTCACGGGTGCGTGTAATTATGGAAGTTTATATTTAAATGAGGACTCCATGCTGTGCAATCTTTGGGACTTTATCACTTACCGTGATGCAACACTCTTTTCTGATCCTCTTGCACTCACCTATATCCTGAGGTGGCCACCACTGCAGTGCCAGTCCTACAAGGGCTGTGACCATTTCATGCCAATGTAACCCAAGAGCTGTGCCTCCATTTACACCTCTTAGCTGTCACTTGGGACCTTTTCTGTGGACGCTGTCAGGGGACACAGCCGGCCCCACACATGTACAACCTGCATGTGCTGGGCAGTTCATGCCCTGCAGGGTGCAGTCGGCCAGTGCAGCATGGGAGTCCATGGCTGCAGGCTTACTCCTCTCTGCTGGGACTGACGCACAGACAGGCGAAGCATTTTGTACAGCTTCGGGAGGACAGTCCATGGGGTACAGCAGCCAGCCACACAGTAGTGGCCAACGCAGTGCTGTAACCTCACACAGGCTTCCCTCCTTCCCTACTTCACTGCTAACAAAGAATTTTCCATGGGATACCTGGGTGCAAGATAAAAATGTGGCTGCACCAGTAGCCTTTGGGGGTGGCCTTGAAAGATTGTAGCGAAAAGAAATACAATGGGGGCCGGGGATTTAGCTCAGTGGTTCCAGTGTCTGCCTCGGAAGCTCATGGGCCCGAGTTGGATCCCTAGTACCAAAAAAAGGAAATACAGTGAGTTCCCTCAATACCTGTGAAGAATTCATTCAAGGGTTCCCTTTGGGTGCCAAAATCAGCCGACACAAGTCCTGTGTAAAAAATGGTAGCTGCTTCCTGGTCCCCATGCTGTGACAGATTTTCTCCACTGTGATCCTCTGTTGTACCACTTCTGCCTTGGAGCCGATCAACCATGACGTGAACCTTGAGCCAAAATAAACCTCTCAGAAATTTTGAGAGTTACATTCGCCCCAGCCAACTCTGAACCCATGGATTCTGTGGCCGGGCTGTTTGTTTCCCTCAGCACAGGACAGTAGAGGCACCAACCAACCTACCTGATGGCCTAATCATAGAAGAGGCCACACACCTGGGGAGGTTAAGCCTAGAGGGTTGGCAGCTCCAATGAGAACAGACTGAGCCAGCAGCACTAGCCACAAGAAAGGCCCGTGCCTATTGTAAACTGCAAAGACAGCATGGGGGCTTAATCAGAAGCCATTTTGGAGAGGGATTAATTGCTTAAGACTGAGCCACAGAACAATTTCAC